AAAGTCACTTTGTGCGTTATTCCATCTGTCGCTACATCAACATGAAGGAAGTCTTTTTCTCATTTCATTCTTTGTCTCCCTTTCACTAACTTAAAATGAGAATAGACTAACTTTCTTTCTCCCAAAACTCAACTCTCTTGGACAAGGGCAGCTTGCAATATTTATATGCCATCTATCCATAACTTGTGGAACACTACCATACAGAGAGGAAACATTATTAGGAGGCACATAAACCAAATCTATACTGAATCTGCCATGTTTTCCTATATAAGTATCGTCATATTTGGCTACTTTATAAAAATGCTAGGAGGATTTTAACTTTTTTCTGATTCTTACATTTTATTTTTTTTTTTACAAATAGTTTATTGTCAAGTTGGTTTCCATATAACACCCAGTGCTCATCCCCACAAGTGCCCTCCTCCATGCCCATCTCCCCCCTCTCCCCCCTCTCCCATCAGTCCTCAGTTTGTTCTCAGCATTCAAGAGTCTCTCATGGTTTGCCTCTCTCCCTCTCCCCCACTATTTCCCCCCTTCTTCTCCCCCATGGTCCTCCGTTAATTTCCTCCTAATCCTAGAGGATTTTAACTTTCTTTTGTGTTGCTGGCTTTCAGTGCTAGGCTGTAAGCCAGCCTACAGGACATTATTGGTGACAACTTCAATTGGTCTCACTCTTATTTTCAACAGTAACTACCCAGGGTTAAAATTGGAATTCTATGCTACGTATAATTACGGATTGCCATCATAACGTCCATAACATGCATTTAAGGGTGCAGCAATTGCATGTGAAAGCATCCTGATATCCCCAGTGATACCAAACTCAGAGATTGAGCCAAACCCATTCAACAAATAAAGGATCTGGAGGCCATTAACACAGAATTTCCTTTCAGAAAGGATAATAAAATTTATAATGATCTATGATTTTACCAAAGATATACTAGGAGAAAGACAATGTAATTTTTGAGACTAAAGACCTTTCAGTTAGAATTCTTTTAGAGGTCAAGTATAAAGGCCAATAAACTACTAGTAGTGATTATGATTTACTTATAGGCTAGCAAAGTGCCTTTGTCAAGGTTCAACATCAAAAATCTGAAAAATACCAAGGCTTAAGATATTTTTGAGTGTATTCAACTATTTTAGTAGTTTCTTTCATTATTGCAACATTTGTTATAACATATATATAAATTACAGATAAGTACAAGAAAATAAATTTAAAAGCACCTGTATGTATCCCAGAAGAAATATCACTATTAACATTTTAACTTACACAGATACGTTAATTTTTTTCAATATAGATTATTGTCAAGTTGGTTTCCATATAACACCCAGTGCTCATCCCAACAAGTGCCCTCCTCCATGCCCATCACCCATTTACCCCTCTCCCCCACACCTCATCAACCCTGTTTGTTTTCAGTATTTAAGAGTCTCTTGTGGTTTGCCTCCCTCCCTCTCCTTAACTATATTTTCCCCTTCCCTTCCTCTATGGTCTTCTGTTAAGTTTCTCCTGTTCCACATATGAATGAAAGCATATGGTTTCTGTCTTTCTCTGCCTGACTTATTTCACTTAGCATAATACCCTTGAGTTCCATCCACATTGCTACACATGGCCAGATTTCATTCTTTCTCATTGCCATGTAGTATTCCATTGTATAGATAAACCACATCTTCTTGATCCATTTGTCAGTTGATGGACACTTAGGCTCTTTCCATGATTTAGCTATTGTTGAAAGTGCTGCTATGAACATTGGCAGATACATAAATTTTAAGTCTTGTTTTACCACCTCCTTTTTCACTTACCAATCTATCCTGAGCAACCCTTCATGTTATTATTTTATAGGAGCTGACCCATGTGTGTATAACATACTTCCACTGTTCATAACATAATTTAATTCAAATTTGTTTTGTCATAAACAAGGAACTGACATAAATATAGGGAGAAAAAAGAGACACATTGGTCCAAAATGAAGAAACTAAATGAAAAACTATTTCCAGGAATAAGCATTAAATCAATTTTATAAAAAAGAAGAAAAAGCATAGCGATTAAAAATCCAGACTCTGGAACCAGACTGCTTAGATTTAAGCTCAAAACTACCTTTTACTAACATTATTTAAGTCATTTAACCTCCCAGGGCCCCCAATTCCCAACCTGTTAAATAAGGATAACAATAGTATCTATCTCAAGGATTGTTGCAAAGACTAAATGAGATAATGCAGGCACAACTAAGAGCAGTGCTTGACACATAGTATATACTCTGCAAATATTCACCATTGTTATTTTTATCTTTGAGTTGAAGAAGTAACCTATTCAATCTTCAAATTTCACATTTAATCCAAAGCAATTAAGTAGATACCACAATACTATGAAAAGACTAAGATAATTAAAATTCATCACAATATATTTGTGTGTGTGTGTGTGTGTGTGTGTGTGTGTATAAGAGAGAGAGAATCAGAAGGTAAATTTAGTGTGAATTAGAAAATAAAACGAATTTTAGGAACACCTAGGGCTCAGTCAGTTGAGCATCTGGCTCTTAATTTCGGCTCAGTCATGATCTCATGGTTTGTGAGATGGAGCCCCACTTCATGCTTTGGGCCGATAGCTTGGAGCCTGCTTGGGATTCTCTCTCCCCCCACTCTCTCTCTCTGCCCCTCCCAACTTGCTTACACACTCTCACTCTCTCCTTCTGTTAAAATAAACTTAATGGTGCTTGGGTGGCTCAGTCAGTTGAGCGTCCGAATTCGGCTCAGTTCATGATCTCATAGTTTGTGGGTTCGAGCCCCACATCAGGCTCTGTGCTAACAGCCAGCTCAGAGCCTGGAGCCTGCTTCCGATTCTGTATCTCCCTCTCTCTCTGCCCCTCCCCTGCTCACGGTCTCTCTCTCTCTCTCTTAGAAATAAAAACATTTAAAAAATTTTTAAATAAACTTAAAGAAGGTGAAACAAATCTTATTTTTAAGCTGATAGACTCCTATCAAATGGTTACAGTTCAGGAAAGGAACCCAGGCTAATTTTTAAATTGATACAGCCTTTTCAAACTTCAATTAGTCATAACCATAACCTGTGAGTTCTGGTGCAACCTGTGAAGAAACTGAAATTCAAAGAGGTTAAGTTTTGTAAGTAAAACAACATAGCAAGTGAGGCTATACTGCCTTTTGTTTTACACTTCTTTTAAGACAAAAACTGTGATATTTGGGGGAATAAGCAAATCTATATGCTGGACACCCCAAATATGGCTTGCCTCTTGTGTTTTTAAATAAAGTTTTGTTGGAACTCACCAACACCTATTCATTTATGTATGGTCCATGGCTATTTCAATACAACCACTGCAGAACTGAATGACTGAAACAACTATCATAGAGCCCATAAATCTGAAACCATTTATAATCTGGTTCTTGTTGACACATAATGAACAAGGCTTTTAGAATCTCTAAAATTAAGAGACTTTTATTCAAGCCCAAGTTATAACAGCTGCCCAAGAAACATGCTCTTACAGGGAAGAAAGTACTCCAGAGACTGAAGAGTTTTCAGAGGGTTATATACTTTGCTACATCTCATTTAAAAATGAAAAGATTATAGATTAACATGTAGGCAGTTTTTTCTAATGGTTATTTATTTTTGAGAGAGAGTGAGACAGAGCATGAGCAGGGGAGGAGCAAAGAGAGAGAGACACAGAATCAGAAGCAAGCTCCAGACTCTGAACTGTCAGCACACAGACCGATGCAGGGCTTGAACTCATGAACCGTGAAATCATGACCTGAGCTGAAGTCGGACACTTAACCAACTGAGCCACCCAGATGCTCCAGCATATAGGCAGTTTTAATGTCAAGGAATGCAGAAAGTAGGAACATTGATCAATATCTTAAGGACGAGATGGTTTTCCTTTAGGCTACTCACAAAGCAGGTGTACAATGTTTGCTTGATGGGCCATGAATCAGCCTTTTGGTTTAAACAAAGTTAATGGTTGACTTAGAAAGAAATGTAGATGGCTCCCCTTATATCTCAGGCTTCTAGGGAGCTCTTTCTCTCATCACTCTTTATAGAAAATATTTGCCAGCATCTAATCTCTTTAACTGAAAATACGGTTGAGAACATACTTTAACATATGGAACAATGCATGAAGGCAAGAATTGTGAATTATAATGTGTAAGTAACCGCAGCTCTTAGTGATAATTGCTTTTTAACCATAATCAAAAGGCTAAAGTAACAATGCAGAACAAGTGAAAGGGAGATACAAGCTACTGATAATAAAGCATGACCTTAACAAACATACTAGTTATAGGGCAGGATAGCCTGAAAACAGTAATATGGTGATCCTGAGAGACAAACTTTATTACGTCATTATCTAATGTGTGTAAAATGTGTTATTGGCATGGTGACTTAGGAACTGAAAAGGGTTAATGTAATCTTTGATTTCTACATCTTTAATATAAACGTTCCTTCTCCCCCCCCCAGGAAAGAATGTCACCCATTCTTCAGTGAGAACAAAATAGTTCCACGTATTACTCACTACCTGACTATTACTCACTACCATGAGGAAGGTAGTGAACACTCAATTCTCTACCGAAGGACGGTCCTCAACTGCATTCCAGCTCAAGATGGTGACATAAATGATTCCTGAAGTTACCTCCTCCCACAAACACACCTTATCTACATCACGTATGGAACAACTTCCTCTGAAAAAAAACAAAACAAACAAAAAACTAAAAACTGGCTGAGCCACTCCGATGCCAGCACGAGAAAGCCTGCATCTCCACAGGTAGGGGTTGGGACACAATGCAGCCATAAACCCCAGCACAGCAAGAGAAGGAACTCAAACCCCTGAGCTCTTCCCTGAGGCTCTAAGCCTTTGAACCCCACGTCCATCACCGCCAACTTTTAAGACCAGCATCCGACAAGCCCCCAAAACATCTAGCTTTGAAAAACAACAAAGCTGACATCCACGAGACCTACAAGGTTAGAGTGACCTGAACAACAGTTCTGAAAGGGCCCATGGCCTTGGACTCACCCGCCTGCGGGCCCGCGTGGAGGCAGCATATGCAGGAACAGCTGAACTTTGCGTAGGAGAAGCTCTCTTGCTTTTCGTGGTCTTGGAGCAACAACCGGAGGCGCAGACATCTGATCTGACACAAGTTTGAACGCTTGCTGGAGCCACGCTCTGGCGCCCAAGACTGGCGGGCGTCCTTAGCGCTCTCCCGCCGCCCAGCCCCTGAACACCAGCTTCTTCTGCTGAGCGAGCTGCTTCTTGCGTCCTGTGTGCTGGCTTTTGCAGCTGCTGCCCACAGGATGCCCTTGGACTCCTCCTGTCTCTGATGAGCAGAGAGGCCTGTTTTCCTGGATCCCACAGGACCGTAACCTTAAGAGAGACGGTTCTTGACAGGCTGCGCAGACTGACACACCCCAGGTTTTTTGTGAAAAAGAGCTATTTGCTTGCCCGGAGCATCCACCTGAGGGGCGCGCATCGGGTCAGGCTCAGGTGTAAAGGATTATGGTGGGCGTGCTCTGCGCGCTCTCGCGCTCTCGCGCTCTGCTGTCGCAGGTGCGCCCCATCTTGGCACTCTCCCTCTGCCTCGCCACAGCTCACTGCTCTCTCACAGACGGGCGCTTGCTTATACACTCGTCTGGAGCCCAATTCTTATGACTGTCACTCTGGACAACTACAGATCGCCGGGCATGGTCGTTCACAACGCTTCCGTTTGCGGTCCCAGAAAACTGTATGTATTTGCTTTTCTTTTATTTTTTATTTCAAGGGTTGTTTTTTTTAATGTTTTATTTATTTTTGAGAGAGAGAGAGAGAGAGACAGCATGAGCAGGGGAGGGGCAAAGAGAGAGGGAAACACAGAATCCGAAGCAGACTCCAGGCTCTGAGCTGTCAGAAAAGAGCCCTCACAGGGCTGGAACCCACGAACCGTGAGATCATGACGTGAGCCGAAGTCCGATGCTTAACAGACAGCCACTCAGGTGCCCCTCAAGATTTTATTTAAATTCTAGTTAGTGAACGTATGTGATAGGACTTCAGTTTGTTCTCTATAGTTAAGAGTCTCATCTGGTTTCCTTCTCTTTTTTTCCCCTTCCCATGTATTCATCTCTTTTGTTTCTTCAATCCCACGTGTGAGAGAAATTATATGGCATTTGTCTTTTTCTGACTGACTTATTTTGCAAAACATAATACACTCTAGCTCCCTCCACATCATTGCAAATGGCAAGATTTCTTTTTTTTTTTTTTTATTTTACTGATGTTTATTTACTGGGGGTGGGGGAGACAGAGCATGACTGGGGGAGGGGCAGAGAGGGAGGAACACACAGAATCGGAGGCAGGCCTCAGGCTCTGAATTGTCAGCACAGAGCCTGAGGCAGGGCTCAAACTCACCGACCTCAAGATCATGACCTGAGGTGAAGTTGGCTACTTAACCGACTAAGCCATCCAGGTGCCCTAAAATCAGTCTTTCTTTAAAAACAAAAATGTTTTATTTGTTTATTTTTGAGAGAGAGCACACGCATGTATGCATAAGCAAGGGAAGGGCAGAGAGAGGGAGACATAAAATCCCAAGGAGGCTCCACGCTGTCAGCACAGAGCCTGATGCAGACCTCATACTGTGAGATCATGCCCTGAGCCTAAGCCAGATGCTTAACCAACTGAGCCACAGAGGTGCCCCAAGATTTCATTTTTTTGATGGCTGAGTAATATTCCACTGTGTACATATACCACATCTTCTTTATCCATTCATCAGTCAATAGACATTTGGGCTCTTTCCATGATTTGGCTATTGATAATGCTTCTAAAAACATCAGGATGCATGTGCCCCTTTGAATTAGTGTTTCTGTATTCTTTGGATAAGTACCTAGTACTGCAATTGTCGGGTTGTAGGGTAGTTCTATTTTTAACTTTTTGGGAAAGCTCAATACTGTTCTCCAGAGTGGCTGTACCAGTTTGCATTCCCACCAGCACTGTAGGAGGGTTCCCCTTTCTCCATATCCTTGCCAACATCTATTATTTCCTGAGTTGTTAATTTTAGTCTAACAAATGTGAGGTGGTATCTCATTGTGGTTTTGATTTGTATTGCCTGGATGATGAGTGGTGTTGAGCATCTTTTCATGTGTCTGTTAGCCATCTGTATGTTTTCTTTGGAAGAATGTCTATTCATGTCTCCTGCCCATTTCTTCACCAGATTATTTGTTTTAGGGGTGTTGACTTTGGTAAGTTCTTTATAGATTTTGGATACCAGCCCTTCATCAGACATGTCATTTGCAAATATCTTCTCCCATTCTGTCTTTTAGTTCAGTTGATTGCTTCCTTCACTGTGCAGAAGCTTTTTATCTTGATGAAATCCCAATGGTTCATTTTTGCTTTGTTTCTGTTGCCTCCAGCAACATGTCTAGTAAGAAGTTTCTATGGCTGATGTCAAAGAGGTTACTGCCTGTGTTTTCTTCTAGAATTTTGATGGTTTCCTGTCTCACATTTAGGTCTTTCATCCATTTTGAATTTATCTTTGTGTGTAGTGTAAGAAAGCAGTCCAGTTTCATTCTTCATGTTGCTGTCCAGTTTTCCCAACACCATTTGTCAGAGACAGTCTTTTTTCCATTGGATGTTCTTTCCTGCTTTGTTAAAGATTAGTTTGCCATATAGTTGTGAGTCCATTTCTGGGTTCTCTATTCTGTTCCATTGATATATGTCATGCCACTCCCATCTAGCCTGCCAAGTTTCTGAGCAGAGATCTTCTTCTAACCTGATTTGTCTTTCCATGTAGGTTAGTGATTTCTTTTCTCTTCCTGCTTTCAAAATTCTTTGCTTATCTCACAGCAAAGGAAACAATCCATAAAACTAATAGGCAACCAACAGAATGGGAAAAGATAGTTGCAAATGACATATCAGATAAAGGGTTAATACCCAAAATCTATAAGGAACTCACCAAACTCCACACCCAAAAAACAAACAATCCAGTGAAGAAATGGGCAGAAGATATGAACAGACACTTCTCCAAAGAGGACATCCAGATGGCTGACAGACACATGAAACGATGCTCAGCATCCCTGCTCATCAGGGAAATACACATCAAAACCACACTGAGATACCACCTCACGCAAGTCAGATTGGCTAAAATGAGCAAATTAGAGAACTCGAGATGCTGGCGAGTATGTGGAGAAACGGGCACCCTCCTACACTCTTGGTGGGAATGTAAACTAGTGCAGGCCCTCTGGAAAACAGTGTGAAGGTTCCTCAGGAAAATAACAAGAGAACTGCCCTGTGACCCAGCAATAACACTTCTAGGAATTTACCCAAGGGATACAGGGGTGCTGATGCATAGGAGCACATGTACCCCAATGTTTATAGCAGCATCCTCAACAATAGCCAAAACATGGAAAGAACCTAAGTGTCCTTCAACAGACTAATGGATCAAGAAGATGTGGTTTATGTATACAATGGTATACTACATGGCAATGAGAAAGAATGAAACCTGGCCATGTGTAGCAACATGGATGGAACTTGAGGGTGTTATGCTGAGCAAAATAAGTCAGGCAGAGAAGGACAGCTACCATATGTTTGCACATATAGGAAGATTGGGAGGGACTTAGTGGAGGACCATGGGGGAGGAGAAGGGGGGAAATAGGAGGGGAGAAGGAGGGAGGCAAACCATGAGAGACTCTTGAATGTTGAGACCAAACTGAGGACTGATGGGTATGGGGGGGGGGGGAAAGGGGGTGATGGGCATGGAGGAGGGCACTTGTGGGGATGAGCACTGGGTGTTATATGGAAACCAACTTGACAATAAACTATTTAAAAACAAGAAAAAACAAAAACAAAAAATTCTTTGCTTAACTCTATGTTTTGCAAATTTTACTATGATATGTCTTGCTGTTGGCCAGCTTTTGTTGAATTTGGTAGAAGTTTTCTGTGCATCATGGATTTGGATGACTGTTTCCTTGTCCAGACTAGGGAAGTTCTCAGCTATAATTTTCTCATATAAACCTCTCCCTTTTTCCCTCTCTTCTTCTGGGACTACTATGATATGAATATCATTACACTTTATGGAGTTGCTGAGTTCCCTCCGTCTACACTCATGACCCATTTGTTTCTTACCCTCTTATTTTTAGCTTCATTATTTTCCATCTTTTATCTTACATAACACTAATTTGATTCCTCTGTTTTATCCATCCTAGTTGTCACTGCACGTGTTGGTTTTGCATCTCAGTTACAGCATTTTTAATTTCAGCCTAACTAGTTTTTAGTTATCTCTGCTGTAAGGGATTCTCTAATGTCTTCGATGCTTTTCTCAAGGCTAGCTAGTATCCTTACAATTGTTGTTTTAAGTTGTGGTTCAGGCATGTTACTTATATCTGTTTTGATTAGATTGCTGTCCATGACTTCTTCTGTTCTTCCTTTTGGGATGAATTCCTCCATCTTGTCATTTTTCTAGGTCAGTTTTTTCTGTATGTATTAGGAAAGCCTGTTATATTCCCTGCTCCTGAGAGTTTAGTCTATATTAAGAAGATGTCCTATACTGTCCAGGGCCTGGTGCTTCAGGAAGTGTTTGAAAGTGTGCCCTCTACTGTTTGGCAGCTCTTTCCTTCAGATAAGTCCTCTGAACAGTTTCTCCTTGCTTGCAATGAGGAGTGTTTGACCCTTGTCCAGTGTGGCAAGTTTTAACTAGGTGTGTTTTCATCTGCTTGTTAAAAGAGGCTTAATCCTCTTTCCTCCAGAGCTGAAGCTTTACAGCACTCTGTGTGTAGGGGTTTGTGCTGGTCTGGGGAAGGGGCCTGCTGCAGCTGGTTCTCAGGCTGACTTGACCTAGTAGATGCACCTACAGTGTGCTGGGGGTGTGGGGCACACAGGGCTTGTGTAAGTGGCCACAGCCTCCATGAGGGTGCTGTGTTACACACTGAATTTTGTCAGTGCTGATGGGCTGGAGGAAAACGGCATCACCCTGCTTTCTAACCCCAGAGAGGGGAGTTTGCACCTGCCACTGTTCAGGAAGCCCTCACAGAAGAGCAAACAGTCTCCTCTCTTGTGTCCCCAGAGTCCACCAGATCACTGCCTTCACCCTGTCTGTGTCTGAGCTGTGTGTCAGGTGGCACAGTATTTCTGTGTTTGATCTCAGACACTCAGCTGGGTTTCCAAACTCCAAATTTTAGGGGTGTGGTACAGACCCATACTCATTCTTGGGAGAATGGTCTTGTCGCACAGCAGCCAGGGCCAGTTAGTCCCAAAAAAGCTATCACATGATTGATCACTCAGGGATTGGAGCTTATGATGAAGCACGGAAAAAAGTCCGCATTTCTCTGTTTCTATGCTAATGAATGGGGCAGCATATTGGTGCCTAGCAGCAATCTTGTCTCCTGAGAAGTAGTGCCATCTCTTCTAAATGCATTCCAAGAAGGGGAACTCTCTCCCTGTGCGGCCCAGGGGATCCACAAACCATGCCATCTACTGCTGGGCCTCTGCCTTCCTTCCCCACAGGAGCACTGCTGTAGTGACCAGACTCCACCTGGCTGTGTTGTAGACTTCTAACAGCTCAGACTTTGGGCTCCACTGCTTGTAACAACTTGTGATAAGCAGCCACTCTAGTTTTCCCAATTAGTGGTTTTGGGGAAGTGTTTCTCTTGTGCAACCCCTTGTGTGCTGCATTCTCTCTGTTTCTCACTGTCTCTCTCTTTTCTCTCTCTAAGATCAAGGCTCCCTCCCCTCCACAGCACCCATGATTCTTTTCTGCTCAGAATCACATCTCCACACCTCCTACCTTCCTCAATGTGACTTTTCTCCCAGTTGTGCAGTTTGTTCTCTGAACATTCAGATTGATTTCTTGGGTGTTTGGAATGATCTGATTTTTATCTGTGTTCAAGGGATGAGGCAACCATAGAGTCCCCCTAATGATCTGCCATCTTAATTCCTTCCCTCATTTATTTTTCAAATTTTATTTTTTTTCCGACTTTATTGAGACGTAAAACATTGTATACATTTAAGGTATACAATGGGATAATTGTATCCATTATATATAATCATTGCAAAATAATTATCACGATAGGCTTAGTTAACACTTCCATCACCTCATATAATTACCATTTTTTTTATTTTTGTGGTGTATATTTGCACATTTTAAAAACTACTACTGCCAAAAAACACAAAAAGGCTACCCCCGAGGGTCAGGTTGGTTTCCTGTCAGCCTGACTCTAGCCACTGAGTGAGATTCTCCTCTTTGAGACCCTTATAGGTCTTGACACATCCTCAACCTCTTGGAGCTATTAAAATTTAATAGGCTGATTGGACATTGTTTGGACAATCAAAGATTTGAGAGATGAACAAGAGCTAGGATGGTGTTGAACAATATGTTTCCTCTCCTACATGAAGCCCTTCTTTCAAGACTGGAAGAGGTAAATGTTTTATCTAACATATAGAAGCCAACACAGAGAGCCAAGCAAAATGAAGAGAGGAAGACATTCCACACAAACAAACAGAAAATAATATAACAATAATACCACAGAAAGATGGTCCCTTTTTCTAGAGGATTGGCTTTTAGGAACAGAAAATTAGTCAATAGTCACTTGGAAATTTTGTGTTTCAATAAAATCATTTAGTAATTTTTTTTAAAACCCAGAGGCTGACTAAACACTCTCCTCATTGCCGTCTTCATCTCTCTGTTCCAGAATGACAAGATTTAGAAAAGGAGTTAAAACTGTATCAAATCTGGCTATAAATTTACCCAGATGTGTTGAAGGAGAGGACCACATATAGAAAAAAAATCAGTGCACCAAAGAGGAAAATCACCATAATAATATGAGATGATAGAGAAAAGGTGTCTTGGATGAACCGCCTGAGGCGTATTCCTGAAGAGTGGCTAGGATGAAGATGTAAGAGAGGATAAGCAAGAAGAAAAGAAACAAGGAAATGAACCCTCTATTAGCAGTGACCGTGAACTCCAGTTTATAAGTATCTGTGCAGGCAAATATAATTAGCCAAGATATGTAACAGTCAAAGCTATCTAATATATTAGGGCTACAGAGGGGTAAGTTTACCACAAAAGCCAGTTGGGCCAATAAGTGAATGAAACCAATGGTCCAGGCAACCACCAAAATCAAAATACATATTCAGGGGCTCATGATGGTCAGGTAGTAAAGAGGCTTACCTATGACCATATATCTGTCAAAGACCATAGCAATGAGTAGTCTATCTCATTGCCTCCAACAACATGACAAAAGGAGGTCTGAGCTATATAGCCTACAAGGGAGATGACTTTCTGCTTCCTGAAAAGAAAGGCACACAAAGCATCTTGGGTGCTATAGTGGAATAAAATATCAGGTCAATGATGAAGAACCTGGTGAACAGAAAATACATGGGGGTGTGTAACTAAAGGTCAGAAGTCACAATGACCCCTATAAGAAGGTTTCCCACCATATTAGACATTTATAAAAGACAAGAAAAAGCAAAAAAAAAAAAAAAAAAAAGTAGCTTCATCTCCCAAGAATTGGAGTCCCATGAATACAAACTCAGACACCACAGAGTGGTTGGCCCTATCCATTGGCCTATTTGGTAGGTTCATACTCCTGTTACCCAGAGAAAGAAAAGGATACAATTCAAATTAATTCTATTACAGTAATAGACTCTATGGAAAAAGTATATAAAATTTGGAAGTCAAATATTACCTGAACATTTCACAAAAATCGAATAACATCCTTTTGGCCGCTATTGCTGTATTGCATCTGATAGTAACTGAGTTGCCAAGTAACCTTGATAACACAAGGAATGGTGCCTAGGAAAATTTATTTAATTGACGAGTCTTTCACATCCTATGTAAATTATTTTTTCTAATTACTTTTTTGGGAGTAACATCTAACTCAAATATAGGTAAGCAACTGGGAGTTATAATAGTATGAAAAGACAAATAAATTTGGAACATCTAGTACTATCCAAATATAATGAGTCTCAGTGAGATACATCAGAAGGAACTGGACAACAAAATGATGAATACAAAAGAATTTACTTGAACCTATTTCATGTTTTTAAAAAATGACATTGAAGAGAATAACAGGGTGAACAATTTTCTGTGTTGATGGTTGAGTTAGCAGAGATCTAAAGGGTAAGGAAGAGCTAGCAAGGGGGGCAAAGGAGCATGGAAAATGCTTCTACCAAGAGGAACAGCATACAAGGCCTGGAGGAAGGAGAGAGCCATGCCTCTTTTATCCTTCAAAACTTTCCTTTTCCAGAAGCCTCCCAGAATTGACCTCCTGCACATATTGCTTATTCCGTATATTTTTGGCACTTTCAGGACCCTGATCCAAGCAACTCCAGAAAGAAGATGTGCAGAAAAGTAAAATGAATATAACTATTATTTTAATCCATTTCAAGTCAGTTTCTGTCAATGGTGTAAGATAGAGTCCTAGTATCATTCTTTTGCATGTGAATATCCAACTATCCCAGCACTATTTGTTGAAGAGCATGTCTTCTCCAGTGAGTAAAATGTTAGTGGCAGAATCTCAGCAGTGGGTAGGCACATATTCACTATGAAATTCATCATTGCAACATGTTTGCACTACTTTTAAAATAAAATATTGTAGAGGGAGAGGAGTGATATATCTAATAAAATGATGATGTTCACACCAAAAAAATGGCATATGATATACAATCTCCAAAATGAACATCTAAAGCCATTTGAGGGGGGGTAATCCATTAGGTTATAAGTCTCTTGAAAGCTAGGATCTAAGCATTTTTATTTATTCAACCTATTTTTTGACAGTTACCCATGTGCCAGTCCTAGACAAGGAGCTTGTAGCCCAATGAGGAGACACACATGCAAACAAAGCAACTTAATCTAATCTGGCTAATACCCATACTAATGTGTGTTCAATGCAGAGGGCAGTAACATAGAAGAAAGAAGCCCTAAATCTACCTAGGAGTATCTAGGAAGACTTCCCAGGGAAAGCAGCATTTCAATAGAGACTTAAGAGTTTGAGAAAGGAATGAGTGGGCGGTGGGGGTTGAGGCTACCTGGGAAAACATTCCAGGAGGAATTAACAGCATGTAGCATGTGACATGGCATGTTTGGCATGTTTAAGAAACTACAGTCATTTAGTACTAAGGAAACATTAAGTACAGGGTGGAGAGTGGTAGAAAAGACAGAGAGCTTTCTAAAGTCTAACTTGGGGTGCCTTTGTGGTTCAGTCAGTTAAGCATCAGACTCGACTTTGGCTCAGGTCATGATCTCACAGTTCGTGAGTTCCAGCCCCACATCAGGCTCTGTGCTGATGGTGCAAAGCCTAATTGGGATTCTGTCTTCCTCTCTCTCTCTGCCCCTCCCCGCTTGTGCTCTCTCTCTCTCTCAAAAATAAATAAAAATAAAAATTTTGTATATATTGTGCCCTCTCCAGAAAAATTGAATCAGAATCTTTGAGAAATAAGCCAAGAGTCTCAGTATTTTTTGAAAGCCCTTCAGGTCATTCTAATGCACAACTACTGTGGAAAACCACTGCTCTAGTCTATGCTCTTCTTTGTACTCCCACAGCATCTTTTGCATCTCTTTATCACTATACTTCCCTCATAACATTGAAACTGATTCTCTGTGTCCCACAGAAGAGAAGCTTCTCAATGACAGGGATGCTTTCTTATTTTTCTCTTTATCTCCAGTGCCTTGTATACTTTCTGGTGCTTAGTAAATATAAGTATTTCTTGAGCAAAACTAAAATATAAAGGATAAAAATTAGACACAAACTGAAATATTAACCTCTCTCTGTGTCTCCCCAAAGGCTATTCATGTCCATGACCCACAGACTACTTTTCAGGTACCTATGAAGACAGATAGCATATGCTTTATGAAATAGGCGTATACAATGATACATTATCCTTAAGCCCTAGAGTAGTCTGAAACAGAA